TGTGTGTGTGTGTGTGTGTGTGTGTGTGTGTGTGTGTGTGTGTGTGTATGCTGAGCCCAAGGGAACATCTCTAAACTGGCTTGTATGTCTTTTTTGATATGTCCCTATCATCGACTGAGCATTTTTCTTGCTCTCTGGTACAGGACACTATGTCTTCTGTGTTATGTGAGAGAAAATAAAATTTATATAATTTGAGCTACTGTATTAAGGGGATATTACTAGTATTACGTACCCATCATCTTGTATTCCTTTTTTTAGATTTTCTCTAGAAGCCTTAAATATTTCTAAATACCCAGTAAGGAGTCCCATTTTATATTCTGATATTGAATATACAATTCCCACTTCCTGTACTTTCAAATTCCTTCTTTTTTCATCTGTAGTCCAATGTTTTTTAATTTTTCTGCACAAGTATTTCTTTTACAACTAACAAATAAGAACGTAATGTCATTTTAAAGTACCACTTGGTAAAAATAGTATGAAATACCAAAACTGTGCCAGGTTTGGTCCTAAGTTATTTTCACATGCCTTTTTTTCTTCATCAAAACTGTATGTGGTAAGTGCCTCTTATTATGCTCCTTTAATAGAAGACAAGTCTAGAACAATTCTATACTTTGTACAATATGGTAGGCAGAATAACCTCTTTGTCCCTGTCAAAGATGTTCATACCTTAGATCCTGGAGGCTGTGAATATATTATGCTACATAGCAAAAGAGATTTTGCAGATGTAATTTAGGCTACTAACAAATTGAACTTAAAATAGGAAGTTTATCCTAGATTAGCTAGGTATCTGGGTAATGCAGTCTCAACAATGTAATCTGGCAATGTATTCATAATAGCTATAAAAGCTGACTAGATTGACCACTCCACCAACTCAAATGTTAATCTCCTTTAACAACCACCTTCACAGACACACCCAGGAACAAAACCTTGTATCTTTCAATCCAATCAAGTTGACACTCAGTATTAACCATCACAGTGGAGAGATTCAAGTCATGAGATAAATTTGACTCACTGTTACTAGAGGCTGGATATTTGGAAACCATAAGAAATCTGCATGGGCAGCTATCAGGTGCAAATACCAGGCCCTGAATGATGACCAGCAAATAGGCAAAGTAACTGCAAGCAAGCTTGTATGCCATATTCTATATGTATAGTTTTTGTTTGTTTGTTCATTTTGAGACAAAGTCTCATTCTGTTTCCCAGGTTGGACTGCAGTGAGTGGCAGGATCTTGGATCACTGCAACCTCTGCCTCCTGGATTCAAGTGATCCTGCTGCCTTAGCCTTCTCAGTAGCTGGGACTACAGGTGCCTGCTACCACACCTAGCTAATTTTTCTATTTTTAGTATAGACGTCATTTCACCATGCTGGCCAGGCTGGTCTTGAACTCCTGATTTCAAGTAATCTGCCCTCCTTAGCCTCCAAAAGTGGTGGGATTACAGACATGAGCCACCATTCCTGGCCAGTAATGTATGTTTTTAACATGATATACAGGAAATCATACTGTTCATTGATACAATATCAGGATAAATTATATCTCCAAGAGATTTTGTGGGTCTAAGAACTAAAGCTACAAGAGAAACTCAACCTCAAATGGACAATTTTAAAGCCACTACACACAGAAGAAATGAGTTGATATGGCGACTTTTTTGGTGGCTGTGGGTGGAGATGGGGGAATTAACTGTCCTCTTATATGACCTTTCTCCCATTTCACCTGTTATTTAATTATATTTTCAAGAAGTTTTGCTTTCACAAAATTATATGAAACATTTAAATAAAGCTTAAAAAAATAACTCATGAAGAGGACTGTTGGCAAGGTGCTTAGAGGAAACAGCTTATTTGTGAAGATGGCATTCTTTATTATTTACACACTTCAAAACCTGAAATCATGATTCATTTGGAGACTTGAGGGGAAGTTGAGGTGGTACTAATATTTAGTGTGTTAGAAATTATTATTCTCAGTAAATTAAAAAGCAATTAGAAATCTGAGTTGAGTGACTGATCCAGGTCTACAAACTTTAATGCTTCCTCAGATAAAAAGAAATTATTGCACGTTACTTTTCTAAGCACCTAATCTAATCACATTTCTTCATGGGTTATTGGGAGAAAGCAGCTCCATCCTGTTGCTTGAGTGTTACCCCATTCTTGGCATTTGGACAGCGAAGAGGAACAATGGCCTATCTAATAAAAAGGTTGAGTCCAAAGCTGGCCCCATTGCAATGTGCCAATTTAATAGAGAAGAACAAGGATGTAGAAGATGAACTAATAAAAACAAACCAGGAGATATTGATTGTAAGCCAGAATCGTGGTGTTTAATTTAAAAGACAGCTCTTCAGAAAATCCTTTCTTCTGTTGTCAGACAAGCATTGGAACTTGTCTAGACTTCGAATCATTCAGTTAGAACAGAGACAATGGACTGATACTCTTGGCTTTCAAACAAACACTAGAGCACTGGCTGGATGCAAGGTTGGATTTCACTATTCTTTCAGGTTGTCAGTTTTATTTGCCATCGTCCAAAAAATAGATATGCTTTCTCTTGGTACATTTAGCTATTGTACTCTTTTACATCATAGAAAAAAAAAATAGGTCTAGCTCTAAGTCTAACTAATAGCTTTTAATTTATCATGAAAGTATTTTACAGGGCTAAAGTCTTTCACTTTTTACAGCAGAGTGGCTTATTCGTGAAATTTGTTTTCTAAAGTTAATATACTACGTGGAATACGAATGAAACCACAGATTGCAGTTGATTGATTCTGCCTGAAAGCACTAAATTTAAGAGACTTCTGTGTGTAAAGGTTTATTCCTTTTTTGTTGTTGTTGTTGACTATGTCTCAAAAGATAATTGAATTAAATCATACTTTTGGCCAATAGCAGGAAATACAAAATAAAAATAAAGTTTTCAATTGTGCGTAGGTCAGCTAAAGTATAAACCTCCTATATATTCAGTGATACAGGGAGAGCATCTTAAGGTCAAATAAGGATAATTATACTACGATTTAAGCAAACTTCTACTGCACAAGGCAAGTAATGTCAAGAGTAAACAATTACAAATCTTAAGCATGTGACTGCTCTTTATGGTGATGCAGTATTGATAGGTGGTCATGTTCAGGTATGTGTTCACCATTTTAATTTAGTCCCCTTGCACCCATGAGTACTGGAATGTATCAGGTAAATTCCTGCAGCTTTGTAGGTAGAGTGAATTTAAATATCATGAGCTACCCTAGATCTGTGAATGATTATGGTCATAACTGATTTTGCCTCAGATGTACAGACACACCCATTGTGTAAATGAATCCATCCACTCTCACCATCCTGAAAGTCAGGTTCCTTTATAAAATGGCCTTGCTCAAAAAATATAAAGCTGAAAGGGATCCATTTTAATTCCAATAAATGTTGCTTTAATAGAAAATGTTTGTGTCACAAATTTGAAATTCTAGAATAAACTTCACATACACACCTGTTGCAGTGAGCCGACATTACCCCACTGCACTCCAGCCTGGGCAACAAGAGTGAAACTCCTTCTCAAAAAAAAGAAAAAAAATATCCATTGTTTTTGTGATAGGGTTTGGTTGTGTCCCCACCCAAATCTCATATTGAATTGTAGCTCTCACGATTCTCACATATCATGGGAGGGACCCGGTAGGAGGTAATTGGATTGTGGGGGGAAGGTGTTTGCTGTGCTGTTCCCATGATAGTGAATAAGTCTCACAAGATCTGATGGTTTTATAAAGGGGACTTTCCCTGCACAAGCTCTCTCTCTTCCCTGCTGCCATGCAAGATGTGACTCACTCCTCCTTTTTAGTTCATAAGTCTTCTATTTTAAAATAATACTCCCAAATTAGTATTTGTTAGCCCTTTTTATGCAGAATTTGCACTTCATTTCTACCACTCCCACCCACATCACTTTCTTTCACCTACCTCCACCTGAGAGTTTTATCTTTAGCCATTAAGGCTGTTAGTATTTACATTATCTTTTACAACCACAACTGGTGCCTTCCATTGAAGACTATTTAAAAATAAACATTGTAATTATGTCAGACTCTATTTTAGACATAGGGATCTTCCACCTTATTAAGTAGCTTCTTGTGCAGTTGTATACTCTTTCAAAAAGTAAACAATTTTCCGAGACCTCCATCTACCATACCTGTAACCTTCAGCTTTTCAGCCCCAATGGTAATCTCATCTTCATCTGCAGAAAACAGCACCCTGCCATCTTCACTGGCTCTCACTTCAAATCTTTTACACTGAGCTTCCACAGCATCAGCTCCTATGGTCAGAAGAAAGGTTTAAAAATGAAACTGGTGTGCAGGAAACCATTAACATGTATTATATTTGGAAAAAGAATAGAAATGCATATATTATTTAATTTATCTATGCTGTATGTTTTGCATCAGAGTTAGTATTTCTAAATTGTTACCATTTTCAGGAGGCTAATTTGGTAACATATTTCTGTGCTAGACTGGCTAGGCATATATGTGAGCTCTAGATGTCTGACACAGTGTGTGAGTTTGGCCAGCTAGGAGAACTCCACTTATCCCACAAAAAGAGACAATGTTTGCTTTGTTCTCTTTGCAGGCTGAAAACTTGGCATCATATCTGGCACCTACTGGATATTTAACAGGTACTTGTGGACTCAGTGAGTCTCATGCTTCCCCTTTGCAGTGCGGACAATAGTACCCATGCTTGCTACATCACAGGGGACTTGTTAAGCATTATTCAATTATGAACCTTTAGTTACTCTACATTTCATAGATTCTAATATTGATGTTTTCTACCCTTTAATATAACTGAGTTTGAATCCATTTATAGTACATCTTGAAATTATATATATATAGTTCTTAGTGCTCCCTAATGTATCTCCCAATCAATAATTTTCCTGATTTAGTGAAAAATTGTATTAAATAAAAGTAATTACAAAATCAACTTATCAGCCAACTCTACAAACTAATCTGTATGCAAAACTCAAATCCAGCTTCCATATTTGGAAAACACAGTTAGTTTGAGTATCAGGCTTTGGAAGAAAACCTAACTGGGACTTGAAGATGAATATTAACTGAGGAAGAAGAAATTTGAGGCAATGCACAGGGGTAATTGATCTTCCCATAATATCAATTTTTTTTCTTTTGGCATAACACATTTGGCATATGGATCCATAGTTCCCCATCCTATTAATTTATGAAACACCCTCCTCTTCTATTTATATCAAAAGCCTTTATCAGATAGAACCCAGCTGAGTCAGGGAAGTAGGAATCACACATGTTGTGCAGAGTTCTTTTCATTTATCTTTATATATTCACATTATTTATTAGGTATATGACGCCCAGGAACTCAAAGCAGGAGATCATCTTTGTATTCCAAAATATCCTCAAATTTAGAGCTGTATCTGCTTTCTAGTAGCACTAGTAGATGAACATTAAATAGGTGAATGAATTCTTCACTTAAGCTTTTGTCCTTTCTTTGGTCCCTAACCCCATCGCAGCACTGCTTTCAGTGCTAGCCAACAGGCTGCAAAAAAATCACTCCTCCCTCACATCATAGCTTCTAAGGAGCATTAAACAAGAAAAAAAAATAATTTAAAACCATAGTAAGAAAATACATAATATAGAAGATATATATATATAATATATAACATATAAGGATATGTACGATAATACCTAAGATAATATAAAATACAAAGTTTTTTTTTTTTTTTTTTTTTTTTTTTTTGTATTCTGAAATTACATGCTTCCAAGATCACACCAAAAATCTGAAAAGCTCCAATTAGGGCTATGCTAAGTAAGAGTAAAACTAATGTTAAATTTATAGGCTGTCAAGTTCAAAATAACAGATTTTTAAAACATAATTCATGCTTTTTAAGATTATTATAAGAAAGACTTTCCTTAAAGAATTTAATGAAAATATGGAAACCACCAAACACCTATTGTTCTTGGTCTTAGTTGTTGCGTTTGATCTTGAAAACATTATTTCAACAGCTTGTATTCACTTGAGTGTGATTTCTTCTATTCATGGCCTAATCTTCCTATTTTGTGCCATAAAAGACAATGAGCCACAGTAATCCAACTATTTGGTGACATTCAAAAAACTGTGTCAGAAGCCAATGTGTTAATAATACATGTGACTTCTTCTGAGGGACCCAGGTATACAGTCATCTTGAACTGCCTGAAAGATATTATAGATGTTTTACACATAAACCCTCAATATTTACACTACATTGCTTCCTTCAAATATACTCGGTTGCTGAGAATAATTGACTCTCAAAATTTATCACTGACTTTAATGGCATAGAAGTATATTAGATCACATTAAATACACACACCCACAAACACATAATAGCAATACTTTTCTTGGCATAATAATTAATGTCATCACACGAAAGATACTTTATTAACATAAAAATGCTATATTGTGTGACATATACTATTAGAAAAATAAATGAAGTGATGTCTGGATATGGTAAAGTGAGGCGAAATCTTAATTCATTAAATGTAAATAAACAAATGCAAATAAGCAAACAAGAAAATATTTATGCACCTAGAATAGATGCGATGCATCTAAGCCATAAATAAATGCATAGTCATCCAATTGAAAAATAGATATAAAAATTAATACTGCAGACTACACTTCATTCAACTTATTAGCATAATGACAGAAGGCAAAATTACAAGCAATTAGCGATGCATTGATAGTAAATATTCAAATCAGAAAATAATTTTGAATATATTTCATTTACATACATTGCTTTTTTCTGCAAATAGAAAATGACACAAGATATGTTCTTGGGGATATAGTCAATTATTAGGGATATTTACATTTAAAGTTAATATATAAGGCTTTATGAAACTGATTTTATTACATCCCAATATGCATTGTGTTACTTATTGGTTTTCATGTAACATCACATGTTCTCTAAGCTAGGTCATAGCAGGATTCAGTTGCTCAGAGGGGCAACCAATGCCCCCTTCAGTCTTATCTCCACCAATGACGCTGCCAGTGTTGCAGGAAAGCAATGTGTCTAGTTGATTCTGGGTAAGGAGCTCTGATTCCTTAGCAAGTAGATCATGGGAGATGGGATTTTACAGGGGGTGCTATATTTTCTTAGTCATCTTAAACACTAACTTGCTAGCTGAAGTACCAAGGCCAAACACTTCCTCAGGAAAATCCCTGAGAAAGTTTATGCCAACAAATTCACTATCAATAAAGAGAAGTCAAGGATAGAAGAAAGATAATAACAAAAAAAAAGATGTAAGCAAAAAAACAGGTTCCATTAAAAGAATGAAGTATTAGATATATGTGCAAATATTTTCTCTATTTTTTAATGTTCTATATGCATTCCAAAAACAAACACACAAACAAACAAACAAAAACTCCATCACCATCAAGGACAACCATGAAGCCAATTTCTTGTTTCTCTTGGAAACGGCTCTATCACTTTTTTTTTTTTTTTTTTTTTTTTTTTTTTTTTTTAACATTCACGTTTGTTGCAGTCTTAATCAACAGCCAAAGTCATCTTTGGCAGACAAGGAGAGAAAACTCAGTAATTTAACTACTGGTCTTTGTATTTTCTACATTACATTGGTCAAATACATGAACTGAAAAAGTTTATTCTATTACATAAAAATCTTCAAAGAGGCTCAAAAATATATTTTAAAGATTTCTGTTGGTACTATTTAGCAGTAATTCAAAGAAAATCAAACAAAGATAAAAATGCATACAGCTGCTTCTCTCTAGTGTGTCTTCCTCAAATGTGACACGATCATTCTTTCTTTCTATATAACTCTAATCTTGGATGTCTTTCAATATTTTCAAGGCCTTGAAGAATAGTATTACTAAAAGATTCAAAATTTCCACAAGGAAAACAAAAGCTTTAAAATTGTCAACTAAATTCTATATTCAGAAATTCCTGATTTAGAATTGCCATGGGCCCAATCAATCAACCAATCAACCAACAAAAAAACAAGTTTAAAATAAAACAAAACAAGTTGCTTTCATGAAATATAAATATACACTGTGATATGGTTTGGCTGTGTCCCCACCTAAACCTCATATTGAATTGTAACTCCCAATTCCCACATGTCATGGGGTGAACCTAGTGGGAGGTAATTAGATCATAGGGGCAGGTCTTTCCTGTGCTGTTCTCATGATAGTGAAGAATTCTCACGAGATCTGGTAGTTTCATAAAGGGAACTTTCCATGAACAAGCTCTCTCTCTTTTCTCTGCTGCCATGTAAGATATGACTCGCTCCTCCTTGCCTTATGCCATGATTGTGAGGCCTCCCCAGACATGTGGAACTGTGAATCCATTAAACCACTTTTTCTTTACAAATTATGCAGTCTCAGGTATGTCTTTATTAGCAGTGGGAAAAAGGACTAATACACATTGTGACTTCTTTTATTTTACCCTATTCTGGTCATTAATAACTCACTGTGGAAAGTATCCTGTGAGTGTCCTGGAGGAGAGGAGGAACAGAAGCAGAAGCAGAGGGAAAAGACCAAGCCAGGCTGGGAAGCTTTTCTTGAAGCAAGGCCTGTGGAGACTCTGGCATTTCCAGTCCTCATAGGATCCTTCCAGAAGTAAGTCTCCCCACTAGCCCCCTAGGACCTATACCCTATTTGTAATTGGAGGAGTAGCCATTCTTCCTCCATTAAATAAAGCAGCTATATAAAATCTAAAGTTCTGGAAATGTTACATTCATCCCTGTATCTGCAGACCTGTGGCTCTCTGCCAACTCCAGGACCTAGTCCAGCATCTTGTACCCAGTAACTCCACATTAAAAGAGATGAATTCCACTACTCTTCATCCTGTATATGTTTTTGCCTCATTTATCCTTCCCTTACCCATAATTCCTATCACTTATTCTTGTTTTTTCAAAAAATATTAAAAACATATACATATAAAAATTGTTTAAGGAATTTTATCCAAAATCCAACCAAAGAAACAGCTATTATTACCAACATAAGTGAAATCCTTGCTGTTTAGTTTTTCTGAATCATATGTCCCTTATCCTTAGGGAGAGCTCCGGAAGGGTAAATATTACCATCAAATAAATTTACATGACTTCCATTTTATAACTCTACCACTTATGTATGCATTCTTGAAATATTTTCTTCATTGCATTACGCATACACACACATCTATATATTACTTGTATTTTCCAGTGACAAAGTTTTTTTTTTCCCCCACAGAATATTACATTTCTGAAGTTCACATATTTCAGTACATGCAGCTCTGATCTATTCCTCTTCACCACTATGTTCTATTACATAAAT